ACCCTCATCATTCCCTGGGGATCTTGCTTCTCCCCTCCCCTGCTGTTCCGCTGCACTCCCCCAGTGCTCTGCCTCAGTGTGGGGGGATCAGATCAGGTGCAATTCCCAGGTAACTTTGAGAAATGCAAGAACTCAGAATTCTATGTCTAGATCTCAAAATGAAAACAAATTTCCCCCCATGATCAATTGGCAAGAAATCAATGTCATGGTTGGTGTAATTAGAACAAATAACACTAGTCTCCTATTTTCTTTTACTTCTGGATTACAGGTTTCAATGTGACCGTGAAAGCGAGTTTTATCTATGCAGATAACTGGATTTACACGTCAAGCGACTGCCGGAGTAGCACCTGTGAAGGCCTGGATCTCCTCAGGCAATTTTCAGTAAGTCGGCCTTTGCAAACTATTCATTCAGTATGAATGAAATGTGACTGAAATGTGAGCTGATTTATAGTCACCATCTCTTACCTTATCTCAGCCATGCAGGTGAATCGCTTGAGGGCTTCATCTGCCTAATAGTTCCCAAGTGACAAAGGCCGTATCAGAATCCAGGAAGCAGGAAAAACCTTAGCTATGAACTATTCGATGGTGGTTTTGTCTCCATTATGAATACACACAACAACAAGTGTTATTTCAAGGCCCTGCCCCAGAGATCTCTCTTTTAAGTCATTGCCATATATTTGATCACAGATTAATTGCTCAAGGATGAATTTGAAACCTAACTGTAAACTGGTAACCATAATGCCACAAGTAGAAAGAGGAAGAGAAAGATTCTTGCCTACTAGCTCAATCCCAACTAGAGCTCTATGGAGTCAGAAAGTGTTACAAGCTCTTTAGAGACTAATATGTGTGTAAAATGACTCCCTTACTACAGAAGAAGATAAGGGGTCGTGCAGGTAGCTAAGTGCTCAGCTGCTAAGTGAAAGGTTGGCAGTTTGAATCCACCAAGAAGTATTAGCAAAAAGGGTGTTGTGATGTTCTTCCCCCAAAAAATTAATCATTGAAATCCCTAAGGAACAAAGTTCTATTCTGACACAGAAGGCGTCACCATGAGTGGGAATCAAGTTGATGGTAATATTTTTAAAAATTCACTGTCATGGAATGGATTCTGACTCATAGCAACCCTACAGGACAGAGTAGAATTGACCCTGTGAGTTTCTGAGAGTATACATTTTTTATGCAAGAAGCTTCCTCTTTCTCCTGCAGTGCAGCTGGTGGTTTCAAATTAATAACATGTAACCATTATGCCAACAGAGCTCTTTTGATATATATATATATATATATAAATTTAAATTAATATAATATATATATTAATGTTTGCTACGGAAACCTAAGAAAAGGTTCTTAGAGAAGCAGAAGAGTAGAGTTATGACCCTGAACTACAATTGAGCACATCACACTGACCAGGTAGGATGCACACCCCTGTAGCCCATCAGAGCAGTGATTCTTAGTCTTGGGAAGGTGAGAGTAGGCAAGAGCAGTTTAATAAACTCCACCTTAATATTCTAAGAGCATATGCGTCCTCTCTCTCTCTCCAGAGGAAGTTATAATTTGGTTCTCCACAGTCAGGAATGGGATGGTCTAGTTAGGCTTCCCTGGGTGAAATAGTAGAAAATGAGATAAATATTCACCCAATCAATTGCATTACCTGTTATCACTTTAGCGCTACTTTAAAAAAACGTTTATTTTATTGGGGGCTCTTACAGCTCTTATCACAATCCACCCATATATCCATTGTGTCAAACATGTCTGTAGAAATGCTGTCATCATCTTTTTCAAATCATTTTCTTTCTCTCTCAAACCACATCTTGCTCTCGCCTCCAGCTATGTCCTCCTCACTCTATGGCTTAGTGACACTTTTTTTTTGTTTGTTTGTTTTATTTCTTTTCTTTTTTTAAAATCATTTTTTTGGGGGCTTGTACAACTCTTATCACACAGATGTAACCTTCTAGGAGTTTTCCCCCTAGACACTTTGTTTTCTTTATTTTGGGCCCATTGATTAACTTTTATTTTGTATGTTTCCTTTACAGGGAGACAAACACATGGGTTGTGTTCTCATGGGGCCCTCGTGTACATATTCCACCTTCCAGATGTAGTAAGTTCTCTTGCTGTTGTATTAATGTTGCTGTGAATTGAAGTCAAGAAGTGACATAGCTACTTAATTATTTATGAAACACCAGTCTTCTCAAAGTAACAAAATCAGGGTGCTGAGTCCCTTGTGTTTTGCCATCTCTCCGTGACTGCCGTTCACTTATCCATAAACTTCTACCTTTGCTCAGTGTAGGGTAAAGTACAGTAGAAGTCCAGATTTAATCATTAACACCTGAACTTGAGAGGTAGCATGATACGCTAAATCAGCCAGAGTCTTGTCAGATAGTGGAGAAGACAGTGAACTTGGATAAATTGAGGATTTAAATAGACGAGAGGGTCCTGAATAGTGCAATGTGCTCAGCTGCTAACCAAAAAGCTCGCAGAGTTCGCCTCTACCCAGAGGCACCTCCGAAGAAACCCCTGAGAACTGTGAGAACCGTAAGCACAGCTCTTCTCTGGCATAAGGAACTCCAGGGCAAGCAGCGACAACAGGAGCTATGGGCACAGTGAAGCGAAACCCAAAGGATAGGGCAGTGCGAGAAGGTATTAAGACTCTGTTCGACCTTCTGGTCTAAAAAGGGAGGGAAAGGATCATGGTGCCAATTCATGAGGTTATTTGAGGATGATATAAATAAACTGCTAAAGCTCATTTCACAATGCTTACCATTCAGAAAAAGCTTTCGATGTATTCTAGGAAGAACGTATTCTCTGGCTTTGAGAAAATGACCCACCCTCATTCTCTCCATTCATTTCACTCAAAGTACTTTGCATGGCTTTTTTCCTGCCAGGTTACCATTTCCCCAGTCAAGTCCCTTCCCATTTCAGCCTGTCAATCCCCCCCCCACGCCCCGCCCAGTAAAAAGATCAACTTTTGTCAAACAAGGCTTTGAGTTCTCCAAACATTAAAAACAATGGGGAAGTTAGGATAAGAAGCAGCTTTCTAAGATAAAAGAGAAGCTTGAGAGTGAACATGTTGAATTTGAAATGCAAGTAGGCCACCCAGGAAGATCTTTCAATGAAGCACTGAAGATAGCATGGAATGTTGTTTTTTTCATTTACACATGGCTCAGGTGGTGGAGACACTAAGGTGAGCAAGCCAGACATGGTCCCTGCCTTCATGGAGGAAGCAAATATTAAACAGAAACCCAAATAATGATCTAATCTTGGGTCTCAGGAAAGGTTGGACTGATGCATAAAGAGATACTTCATTTAGGACCTCATGGATGCATGAGCATCAACAAAGATGCAGAAAACATTGCTGACATTTGTCAAGATCTAGAATTGAACATGATGTGTTTAAAGAACTTCAGGAAGGTTCATGTCCTGACTAAGAGAACCAGTGTCTCAGTTTATGTCGGTCTCAAAGGTAGCTCATAGAAGAACCAGAAATAAGGTAATGCATAGAGGGGGATGAGTAGAAGGCATCTTTCTGGCTTTATAAGTATGGTATCTAGAGGGGCCCATTCTTCATTTTCTTAAGCCAGTGGACCAAAGTCCATATGTCAACCTTAATGATAAGCCATTTTAGTGTAGATCAAAGTAACCAAATCACATATTCATGAAAATGGCAAGAGTGTACTTGGGACATAGCATACATTTCATCATTGTTGTCTTAAAATGTGTCTATGTGGGAGGACATTTATATCAGTGATAAAACCATTTGAATAGCTCTATTTTAGTATTACAATTTACACACACCTTCTAAAGCAGATGAGGAAAATCTTATTTGTATTAGTGAAACTATTTCTGATACTGATTTCTTTCTCACCTGTTCACATAGCCTTGACACAGACTTGAACTACCCAATGATTTCAGCCGGGAGTTTTGGATTATCCTGTGACTACAAAGAAACATTAACCAGGCTGATGTCTCCAGCTCGGAAGCTGATGTACTTTTTGGTTAATTTTTGGAAGAACGAATCTTTGCCATTCAAGACATCTTCCTGGAAAACCGCATATGTTTATAAGAACACCACGGACACTGAAGACTGCTTCTGGTAAGAAGGAGTGTTAGTATTCTTCCGGCACTTCACATGGGAAGGTGTCATAGACTTATGGAAGTTTCCTTATTATCATCAGATACGCTTTTCACCTGCAAATCCTATCTGGAAGGCAGGACAATGCACACAAATCCACTCTTCATAGGCAAATAAAAGCAACCAGGTGAAAGGAAACACAATATCCTAAGTATGAGCACCAGCACTTTTACGTTGAACTTAGAGCACACGAAAGTCCACTTCACACTGGGCAGAAATTAGTCCTATCAATTCTGGATTTTGTGTTGTAGATTCAAAGACTTCATCTTTCATGTGACAATGTAACTGGCTTACAGAATGGAGCAGAGCCTTTTCTTCCACAAAGACCAGGAAACTATAATAATTTACAACACTTTCCTTAACTTTTACAAAACTTTCAAATAAATTGTATGGATTTCCAACAGAAAACACTGTGAAGAAAACAGAAATAGTGCAATACCCAATTTACTAATAAGAAAGAAAAAAACCAGAAGTTAAATGCTTTCACATTACTGTGCATGATGTATCAGACAATGTGTGTGCTACCTATACTTGCAACCAGTTAGAGATAATTTCTCTCACAACTTTTCAGAGAAACAAAATGGAACCCGGGGAGAGAACAGAATCAATGTGCACCGTTGTAACACTCACTCAACTCAAGCAAACATAGTAGGAGAAACCTTTTGGTTTGATTGCCAGACCCAGGGATACTGCTTATTTCTGCAGTCTACTTCAACCCAAGGTCCAGAGGTTAAGATGGAGTAGTACTTAGAATTAGTACCTAGGGAGCTATAAGACTCAACCCTAAGTTCTCTCCTAGAGAGAATTTAGAGCAGTAGTTCTCAACCTACCTTACATCACGGCCCTTGAATATTTTTCCTCATGTTGTGGTGACCCCCAACCATAAAATTATTTTCGTTGCTACTTCATAACTGTAATTTTGCTACTCTTATGAATTGTAATGTAAATATCTGATATGCAGGGATTTATTTTCATTGTTACAAATTGAACATCATTAAAGCATCATGAAGAACCACAAAACAATATGTAATTATACATTGTGAGATATTTATTTCTAATTACAAATAAATGAAATTTTGTCTTGAGGCATGGTGTAGCATGGGTAACGGTCTTCACGCCGGTACTCATATGTGGGCGTATCTGCATGTGGGCGGACCCACCTGGAGACAGATAGAGGAGTGGTGTCTCAGTTCCTAAGACCATCGGAAATAGATGTTTTCCGATAGTCTTAGGCGACCCCTGTGAAAGGGTTGTTTGACCCCCAAAGGGGTCACGACCCACAGATTGAGAACCGCTGATTTAGAGCATGCAAAAGTCCATTTCACACAAAAGAGGAATTAGTTCTATCAATTTTGAATTTTATAGATTCAAAATTTTCAGCTTTCATGTGATAATGGGGCTGGCTTAGAGGACAGAGCAGAGCTTTCCTTCTGCAAATATCAGGAAAGCATAATAATGGACATATATATTTCAAATTTATATGATATATAATAATATACATTTAAAAATCAAATAGATACATATTAAATGAAAATATATGGTATGTATAATACCCTGCATGGATCCACTATATAACATAATATATGTGTTATACATATACACACATATACGTTATGGTGTGTACTATTTGTTGGGTTGACAATGGAAGTGAATGTTAGATGAACAAGCAAGTCTTGGGAAAGACCTGCAAACACCGAGTGAAAGGTACGGATGTTGTGAGAAAGTTTAATTAGTTCCTCAGAGAGTCTCTTTCCTTGTTTCAGGTACCTCAATGCTCTTGAGGCTGGAGTTTCTTATTTTTCTCAGGAATTGGACTTCAAGGAAGTGTTGAGACGAGATGAGCAGTTTCAGGATATGTTAAAGGATTCGAATAGGAAAAGCAATGGTAAGAAGACATGGAGATACTTTTTTTTTATTTACTAATTTCTTCTTCCTGATCACCATCTGCTTATGAGTCATCATTACCTCCATAATTTTCATTGTTTGGGAGATCTGTAGTTTCATGTGGGTGTAATGCTTGCTCAGCAGGATTTTCTCACACCACTCAAAGCATTATCTAATGTCCTTATCCAGCATTTGCTGTGTTAAGAACCTACCACTTACAAAATAGGCACCAAGCTATGGAAACATAAAAAGATCGAACGAGGTTTCACTCAACTTCTTCAATAAAGCAAGCACTTGGCAAATTGTTAGATTAGGTTCTAACACTGAAATCACAAAGATTGAGTTTTGAATTCAGAAGCTACTGACAAAGTCCGAGGAAAATGGCTTAGAATGATTTCACGGTTTCTTCTCACATTAACTTTTACCAGAGCTTTTTCAATTACTTTTCATCTCTGGAGACAGTGTAAGCCCTCCAACATAGTATAATGGAATAAGCTGGAGTCATAAACTTGAATATGAAAGATAGCGTTTTCATTCTCTAGCTTTTTGACCCTTTGGATTGTAGGCTTCAACCTCTTTGTAAAATTAAGGAGATGGACGAGATGGTTTCAATACATACAGTTACAGTCTCAGTCTGTAACTGCAACAAAAAAAGAAAAGAAAAGATGACATTTGAGGACTTGGATTTTCAGCATGGACGTGCAGGATACAAATTCCAGGAGCTCCTTTGTTTTTGTTATGGGAAGACCACTGGGCATTTCTCATCGCATTTCTCCCTCTGTTCCAGTGTTTGTCATGTGTGGCACACCAAATACAGTCAGTTCCCTCCTAAGCAACCTGCCCGTGGCTGAAGACACTGTCATCATTCTGGTGGATCTATTCAAGTAGGTACAATATTTTAATATTTGGAAGAATTTTCCTTTTTCTTTTTTTCAGAATGGAAACAATTCAAGGATTTCCAGGAGGCATATTCCTTTTTTTCACTTGCTTCACCAGTTTCTTATGGGATTCTGTATGGAGATAATACTTAAGCCAGCTTTTCGTTTTTTTCTTCATCACATTCTCGTGCTTACTTCATCCATTACAACTGTTGACATCTCTTACCATGCTTAAATACAGTTATGGTTTTTGACATCTCTGTCAGGTTTTAAAAGGAGCTCTGGTGGTATAGTGGGCTCCACCTTGAGGTGCTAGCCACAAGGTTTATGGTTTGAACCCACCAATCATTCAGAAGGAGAGAGATGAGAATGCTGCCATAAAGGTCTCAAATATCAGAAACCCACAATGGGGTCGTTGGGCTCTGTCATATAGGGTTTCTATGAGTCTGAATCAACTTAATGACAGTGAGAGTTGAGATCATAGCTCCCCTTTATCCCATTCCTCTCACACCCTACCCCCCAGGAACTATTATTATTATTTGCTGTTTCTTACACCATCCAATATATCCATTCACATACAATTTTGTCATTTTCTTCCCTCGAGTGGGGTTATGCAGTCATCAATGCTATCGGCTCTGCCTTCCCCCCTTCCCCCTCCCTCTTCCTGTACCTTCAGGGAACCATTACTGCCATTACTGTTTCTGAAGGATTATTTATCTTGACTTGCATGTATGTCTCTGTCTGGGCCATGGCAAATGAGCTGATAATCTAAAAACAGTATTACTGACAATATAGATCACATTTGTTCTTTCATTGTTAATGACTTTTGGTCCAGGGTTTTTTTCTGTGGCCAACTTAATAAAGGGAAAATTGTAGTTAAATTAGTCTGACTTAGACAATTATTCTTTGTCCTCTGTAGCATCACTCAGTGATGTTCTTATCCTCCCTTCTTTGGAAGTAAGAAGAGAAAGTTCTCAACTAGAAGCTACCTTTTTCTACAGCCATTCTTTTATAATTTGTCATAAAATATGGTGGATGATTTCACTGACAGACTGAGTAGAGGTAACATTCAAGTTAGACTAAGCTTAAAGAAGGTGTCCATGGATGGTCCCTGTGCCTCTTACCCCATTGCCCAGATCATATAATATCCCCTGCCTGGCTGCAGCATTACTCATTACCTGTTTGTTTTCAGATCATATGTTATACTAGAATTTCACATACGGTTGTTTTTGTTGTTATTGGTTGCTGTCTAGACAGCGCTGACTCATAGTGATTCTATGTAGAACATAGAAAATACTGCCAAGCCCTGTGCCTCTCTCACAATTATTTGAATCCATTTTTGTAGTTACTGTGTCAAACCATTTGATTGGAGTTCTTCTTCTTTTTCTCTGCCCTTCTACTTTACCGGGCATGATGTCCTTTTTCAAGGACTTGTCTCTTCTGACAATATGCCCAAATTTCATGAGAAATTGGTCTTGACCTTTCTCTTGTGGACTTATTTTAATTTTCTTCAGCTTCAACCTGGGCTTGCGTGTGAACAGCTGGTGAGTTGTTCCACACTGAGCTCCTGGCCTTGTTTTGGCTAATGCTATTGAGCTTCTTTCTCTATTGCTTCTTCTTAAAGAATTGTTCTATGCAAAGCGGGTGAATAAGCAAATGTGGTGAAGAAAGCTGATGGTGCCCGGCTATCAAAAGATATAGCATCTGGGGTCTTAAAAGCTTGAAGGTAA